CCAGCAAAACCCCTTGTTCCTTCCTATTATTGCTTATACTCTCTCTACAACAAAATTAGAAATAAGGGCAAAATAGTTTCTGCTGGGTATTGAGGGGGTAGGGGGGAGAGAGGGGGTGGAGTGGGTGGTAAGGGAGGGGGTGGAGAAATGACCCAAGCCTTGTATGCACATATGAATAATAAAAGAAAAGAAAAGAAAAATTAAGGCAAAACTCCTAAAAAAAAAAAACAGAAAAAACAAAGGCTGCCATTTATGGACCACTGCTGTAATCACTCACAGGACCTCTCTGAGCTCTCCACTGCCCAGAGTCCTGAAACATGAAAGGCAGACAGGGCAGGGATGGACCCAGCTGGAAAAGCAGGTCACCAGGAGTCTAGGTGACACACACACATATATACATGTACAATATATATACATATATATATGTATACATATACACATATATGCATATAAATACATACCAAGATGCATATATACATAATACACACGCATACAAATATACATGCATACAGGTATACACACACATACATACATGTACTGCATACACACATACTTACACAGAGCTCACATGTGAGCCCAGCTCACTCATCTTGAGGGCTCACCAGGCCTGGCTCTGGATCCCTTCCCTGTTTTTCTACTATCAGACTCCCTTACTCCTGGTGATGATGACCAGTGTTAAAGTGGTCAACTGCGTGTATCACAGGCTGTGAAGGGCAGCACAGATGGAGATGGAGTCTGGAAGACCATAGAGCAAGCAGTCTTTAAAGACAATAATTCACATACATGTTCACAGGCCACACATCTCACACAGGAACTTACACACAGGAAGGCCATCAGTGGCTCAGGTATAAATAGCAAGTGAGTCCTTTGTTTGATTTGGTCAAGCTCTATCAAACTCAAAGAACTTTGGAAACTGCAGGTGTGTGGCAGTTCACACCTGCAATTCTAGCACTCAGGAGAGGAGGCAGGAGAGTTCAAGGTCAGTCCAGGCTACATAGTTAGACCCTGTCTCAAAAATAAATAAATAAAAATTTAAAAACAATACAAAAGGATCTTTGGCTGGGATTTCCAAGAAGCAAATTGAATGAATAAGCCTGGCTGTCAGAGGGACCTGGTTTGCCTTTCTAATCCACTGCAGCCAGTGTCTCAAAGTAAGGGGTCCTTATTCTAGGTGTCCTGATCTCTCTTATCATGCTTATCTCAGGAGAGGTGACTCCATTTACATTGCTAATTATGCTCCTTATTGACCACAAATTGGGTATTGAGAGGCCAACCACAAACATTTTATTGACCTACAATGAATCTACAGTGAACATTTCCTAAATTCGGGACCCTGGGTTTGATATTTATGGGAGAAATATCAAGAATGGTCTGGTCCTAACTCATTCAACAAACATCTATTGGAGCCTGTGCCCTGCAGAGCTGGAATTGGCACCAGGGACACAGAGATGAAGCAGACTTGTCCGGCCAGTGCAAGAGACCAACACATCAGCAAAGGTTTTCCTTACAGAGTGATGAGAGGGTCTTGAGAACTCGGTGTTGAGCCCTTTGAGTCATAGTGAAAGAAGCACCCAGGAAGGTCCCAGGGAGGTGAGAACAGAGTTGATACCTATGGGGCAGAGTGTCAGGGAGAAAGAAGGGCAAGAGTGGAGAGGGACAGGCAGCATCTGGAAACTGAGGGACCATGCCACCACAGAAGCTGCCATTTATGGAACACTGCTGTGATCACCCACAGGATCTCTCTGAGTTCTCCACTACCCAGAGGTCCTTAAACATGAAGGGCAGGCAGGGTAGGGCTGGATCCTGCCTCAGATGGGAGCCACCAGATCCTCAGTAAGAGTCCTCAGGATGGCCACAGCGGGAGCTTAGCCCTTCCTTGGCATTTGTCACCTTAGAAGTATATTTGTTATCTTCTCTCACTGCTTACCAGGTATAGCACCTGATTTACATTAAGCCTCAGGGCCTTTAAATTAAAGGCAGGGTGCTTAATTATAAAGCAATGTTTTGAATTTGGAATAAATATGTTCTGATTTGACATGTAATATTATGATCACCTTTCCAGGAATATAACTGAAAATGATCTGTGGGCTGTGTGTAGGTGGGAAATCCAACTCCTTCCCTCTCTGTAACAGGCAGTCTCAAGCACAACAGCAAAAGTACCCAGTTAGTTCTGTAAAAGGAAGAGTCCCTCAGCCTCTGTCTGTGGATAGGGCCCACTGTAGTGCCAGCTGGGTTCTGGAAGGATAGTGATGACTATGCTGCATGCATTGAACAAGTTCTTTCCAGATTCCCAGAGCAGTGCCATCTGCCTTCTTCAGCCTAACACAATCATGATGTCCCAACTGTGAGAGACAGTCTGAGGCCTTTGTCCCTTTCTGGGCTGGGATCCTACCCTGTCCTATCTTCTCCCCCACTAAGTCCAGGAAGACGTGGACCCACCCAGCCTCCTGGCTTCTCTAACACCTGAACTCCTTAATGCCAAGTCCACCCACTCTGCTCCATGCAGCCCACACCATGGAGTCCTCATACTTGGTGATAATGGTCAGTCCCTCCTGGCTTCATTCCCCTCCCTGCTGGTTAAATGCCATGACGTAAGATGCCAACAAGCTTTTGCCAATGTCCTAAGCTCCTCAACCCTTCGGTCCCACCATTCTTCCTAGTATAAACATAACTCTAGAAGATTCCACTGCCACACTCCTCCAGGTAGTCAGGCAGCTAAAGGAGGCCCAAAGATGAGACTGTGACAAATGCATGGCTTTCAATTGCAACTTGGCTCCTACTCTCAGCCATATTCCTTTTACTATGCAGAGCCTCTCTCCAGCTCTCAGCAGCAGGTAGTTCAGACCTTCTCTATGCTCCTAAAATCTGCTACTCTAGTCTTCCCAACCCTCACTTTCCAAACTTCAACCCCAGTCTCAGAGAGCAGGTATAAACTTGGGACAACTTCTATTTCATGGCTTTCTTAGCCAAACCTGAGCAGGCTCATCTCTCTAATGGTACCTTTACCCCTGTCTTGCCATTTCAATAGAAAAAGAACCCTCTTCCCCTGAGATACAAATGTGCCCAGTCTCCCTGGTCCTTCATGTTCTGTCTTCCCCCCCTACTGCCCCCCTACACAAACAGCTGTGTCTCTCACTTCATCTCCTATTGACTCAAACTATTCAATCTCTGTTTCCAAGTTTCTTACCCTAGTCCTCTGAAACCATTCATACAGGTTACCAATAGGATCCCTATGGCTAAACACAATAGAAATTCTCAGCACCCAGCACTATTGGCCACTCTTGTTCCTTCTCCCTCCTTGACACATCCTTCCCTTGAAGTCTATGACAGTCTTCCTCTTGGTTTTCTTCCACCTTTCAGGTCACTCCTTCTGGGTCTCCTTTTCAGGCTCTTCTTTCTCTGTATGATACTTCAGACAGAGCTCTCATCTCTTCTTCCACCAGACACTCTCCTGTGGAGACTTCATCCACACCATAGGCTCTAAACCCATTGACATGGAGAAGCCTTCTGATTCTATTGCTGCATAAGTCAAAAGCTAGTATACATCTCCTGTGGGTGCCCCAGAGGCATTTCCAGCTCAACAGATCCACAAGTGAACCTGGCCTCTTCCTACCCAGTGTGCTCCCTTTCTTGTACTCTCCATCTCCAAGAATGGCACCATCATTCACCCAATTTCCCAAGTCAGAAACTTTCAGTAAATATACAATGAGTCAGACAGTGAACCATGTGCAAGTTTCCAATGGTCAACAAATAAATACACCAAGTTCTGCACATGGATCTCATGATATAGCTGAAAGGTAGAAAGGAATGAGATACTAACACATAGTGATGTAAAACTGGCAATGGTGTAGAGTTCTGTTATGAAAATCTCCCTGGCACCAAAAAGACCTGTGATGGAGAGGGTTCAACAAGGTTTGGATGCAAAGGAAGTGTCTCTAAGGATAAGCCAAGTGAGCAAAAGCCTAAAGATGACAGAGAAGTCAAGAATTGCTCCCAAACTCCAGTCTTTACAAGGTACTAATATGAAAGAAGAGCCCAGGTATATGGGTGAGGAAAGAAGGGAGTGAATTCTGCCTGCGCCAACCCGAAATTGCCATGCCAGAGAGAATCTAATGAAAGGTGTGGGAGCCTGAGCCAGGTATACAAACTTAGGAGCCACTAGTGTGTTGGAAAAAATGGAGTCCTTTATCCAGGATGACCCTCCTGCTGGTTGCTTCCAGCAAGCCAGGTGCAGAGTTTTCTTAGGGGACTAGAAGTCCTGTCTGTATATCCCCTCAAGTAGAATGTTGGGAAAAAGGTGGCTGAATCAAGCTGAAAACAAGCGGAGAGGGCAGACAGCTGAGTCAGCTGCCATTTCTAAAAGGCATTACTAGACTTTGAATGTTTCCCTTAAGGAACATCTTCCTTGGGAAAGGACACCAAAAGTTTAAAGAACACAGGTGTTGTGTACAAAAAAGTCAAGGGAAAAAAAGAGCTACATATCACACCTATGCCTTGTGAAAGCACACAAGCATTCAAACAATAATGTAATTTGTAAAAGATAACAAGCTCTTAATATTCAGACAACCTAGAAGATTTGCCACCTCATCAACCATGAATGAGGCCCCCAGTTAGAGTGTGACTAGATCCCTACTTGCTCACAAGTGCCCCTGGCAGAATTTGGAACAGTGCAGAATACGAAGTCTCCACTCTTGTCCCCACTCCCTGTTTTGGGTAACACCAGATCAATCTGGACCTTACTCTCTTATTCCAAGTCACAATATGTGTGCCTGGTGCAGTTCATTTCTGCAAATGCTGGAGTAGGGTGTTCCATATCACCACATTAGGGAGCAGCTCAGGTCTGAGACCCTTGGTCCTGCCTCTCTGTGGATGGTCAGTGAACCAGCCACTCACACCTGTATTCTGCTCCCCATAGACTGGCCCCGGGAAAGCTCTGCCCTAGCCCTTCTATGGGCCCAGAACCACACCACAAGATTGAAGGATGCTGGTCTGACACTCACCCCTGAGGCAGGATTGGCTGTCCATCCCAGCTCTGCAGTAGCTGTCCTGGTGTCCATTAACGTTTCTGCAAATCAAAAAGAAAGCCAGTGATGGATCACAATTACAAGAGAGTGACCATTATTTCATGAAGCTATTCATGACAGTAACTGTAAGTGCTAGAAGGAGCCTGGGGCAACTTCATGCCCAAGCTTCTCCTAGGCCCAAGGCTCAGAGAGAAAAAGGAGTCTGCAAATCACCACAGACTTCAACTCTCCCGACGATAATGGTCTAGCACCCACTCCTCAGTGATCCCAAGCTGCCTACATGGAGTGGAGTCATCTGCCCCACAGCATCATCCTCCAGATCAGACTTGTTCCAGCATCACTCTCCTCTGGGGTTCTTCCTGGGCCATGCTGACCCAGTGGCTAAACAAAAACCAGGTATCTCTGGTATCTTTCACTTCTTTGGTTAAATTTATTCCTAGATGTTTTATTTCTATGCATATTATAAATGGGATTGATTTTACATTCCTTTTTCAGGCATTTTGTTATTGGTGTAAAAAAATGTTACTTTTTTTTGTATGTTGATTTTGTATCTTGCAACATTACTGAATTCATTCATCAGCACTAACAGATTTTTGGTGGCATTTGTAGGATTTTCTATATTTAAGATCATGTCATCTGCAAGTAGGGATAATTTGACTTCTTCCTTTCTGATTTAGGTGCTCTTCATTTTCTTCTCTTGACTAATTGTTCTAAGACTTCCAGTACTATATTGAATAGGAATGATGAAAGTGAACATCCCAGTTTTATTCCAGATCTTAGCAAAAATGCTTTCAGCTATTTCCTCATTTAACATGATACTGGCTGTGGGATTTTCCTGTACAGCCTTTACTGAGTTAAGCTAAGTTTCTTTTGTACCTAATTTCTTAAGTGTTTTTATCATGAGAAGATGTTGAGTTTTCTCAAATGCTTTCTCTTACATCTATTGAGTTTATCATATGTTTTTTGTCCTTCATTCTGTTCATTTGCTGTAGTATATTTATTGATTAACATGTGTTGAACCATTCTTGCATTCCTGGGATAAGTCTCACTTTATCAGAGTGTATAATCTTTTTGATTTGGTCTTGGATGAAATTTGCTAGTATTTTACTGAGAAGTTTTGCATTTATGTTCATTGGATACATATTAGTCTGTACTTTAATATTTGTGTGTTGTTCTTGTCTAAAGCAATGCTGGCTTTGTACAATGAGTTTAGCAGAATTCCTTTTCAATATTCTGGAATAATTTGAAAAGAACTGATATTAGCTCTTCTTTAAACATGTAGAATTCAGCAGTGAATTCATCAGGTCCCAGGCTTTTCTTTGCTGGAAGATTTTTTTTTTATTACTGACTCAGTCTTACAGTTCATTCCTGGTCTGTTCAGGTTTTCTGTGTCTTCATGATTCAATATTTGTAGGTTCTATGTTCCAGAAATTTATGCATTTCTCTTAGGTTTTCCAATTTTTTGGTGTATACTTGTTCATAATAGTCCTAATGATCCTTTATATTTCTGTGGTATCAGTTATATCTCCTTTTGTAGCTCTGATTTGGGTATTTTGGTGTTTTTTTTTTTTCTTGGTTAGCCTGATTGAAATTTTTGTCAGTTTTATTTGTATTTTCAAAAAACCAATTATTCATTTCAGTGATCTTTTGTCTTAGTTTTTAGTCTCTATTTTGTTTCTGCTCTGGTCTTTATTATTTATTTATATTTAATAATTTTGAGATTGATTTGCTTTTTTCTTTTCTAGTTCCTTAAGTTGTACTATTAGCTTGTTTATTTGAAATCCCCTCCTCCTCTTTTCTTGATGTGGTGCTTATTGCTGCAAACTTCCCTCACAGTAATGTTTTTGCACAGGCTTTGCTATGTTGTGTTTCCATTTTCATTTAAGAAAATTTTAAATCTCCCTTTTGATTTCTTCATGGACACTTTGGTAATTCAAGAGCATGTTGTTTAGTTTCTATGCATGTGTACGACTTCTAGAATTCCTCTTGTTGGTGACCTCTAGTTGATTCCATTGTGTTTAGATAAGATACATGATATGATTTTGATTTTAAAAAATTTTTAGACTTGTTTTGAATCCTAACATATGATATATCCTAGGTAATGTTCCATGTGCTAATGAGAAGAATGTCAGGTTCTGCAGTTGTTGGAAGGGATGTTCTGTAAATGTCTGAGAGTCCATTTGGTCTATAGTATAGTTTAAATCTGATAGTTCTTTGTTAATTGTTTTCATCTGAATGATCTATTGATGAAAGTGTGGTGTTGAAGCCCACATTTGTTATTGTATTGGCATCTATGTCTCCTTTTAGTTCTGATAATACATGCTTTATATAATTGGGAGCTCCAGTATTGGGTATGTTTGTGCCAATAACATTTTCTCTTGTTAAACTGATCCTTTTGTCATTATATAATGGTCTTCTTTCTTTTCATAATTTTGACTTAAATTCTCTTTTGTTTTATATAAGTATAGTTACTACTGCTAGCTTTTGGTTTCCAGTTTCCAGGAATACCTTTTCCCAACCCTTCACTTTTACTCCATATGAATCTTTAAGGCTAAAGTAAGTTTTTTTCAGGTAGTATATATTTAAATACTGTTTTTAATCCATTCAGCCACTCTATATCTCTTAATTGGGGGATTTAGTTCATTTATATTCAAGGTTATTAGTGCTAAAAATTTATTCCTATCATTTTATTGATTGCTGAACCACCTACTCCTATAGTACAGCCATGTGGTCTTGGGTGCTGGAGTCACAGTTGCATTGTTGTGACTGTGTGAGACTAGCTGACTTTGTGAGACTTAAGAGTGTGCTGGAATGTTTGTGGGACCTCAGGGATGGGCATATGCAGAGGTTTCTGTCCCCTGGGCTGACACAGATCCAACAGTGATTCCATCCTCAACAAAACACTGCATGGGCCCCCAGAAAGAAGGAGGATTCCTTCTCTAAGGAAAGCCACATCGCAGACTGTAGTAGCTAGGATTTCTTGTATCTCAGGAGATTGGGTCCATTGGGACTGTTCTGTTTACCATTTCCTCTATGAAGTGGAGTTCCCCAGCCAGGGAGGTAGAGTCACATTTGGTGCCTTACTTTGTTCCTCTCTGTATGCTTCCATTCCAGGTCTCCATGTCTTACAGAGCTCCCATCTCTCCCTCAGCATTCACCTTGAAATGCATCCATTCACTTGTTTTGGCTCTTTATGGAAGAGGTAAACCCCAGAAACCTCTATTCAGCCATCTTTAAATCTCCTCAAGAGTACTTTATATATTCTGGGTTCCAGTTCTTTTTCAGATAAACACTTTGTAAGTATTTTCTGGCACTCTGCGACTTGTCTTTTGGTTTTCTTAGCCATGTCTTTCAAAAAGCAGTTTTTAATTGTGACAAAGTCCAATTTTTCAGGTTTTTTTTTTTATAGTTTACTGCCACATCTGAGAACTCTGTTTAGCCTAAGGTTGCAAAGACTTTTCTACTAATATTTTATGATTCATTTTGAGTTAATTTTTGTATAAAACAGAAGGTACAGATGAATGTAGTTTTTAAAACTGTGGGTACCCAGTAGGTTATCTTTTTTTTCCTAAGAGAAAGGGTTTTGTCATGTTGCCCGGGCTGGCCTTAAACTCATGGTCTCAAGTGATTCTCGCCTCAACTTCTTGAGTAGCTTGGACAACAGGTATGTGCTACAGTGCCTGGCAGATGGACACCTTTGAAAATCTACACCATGGTGCCATATACGCTGGTGATACATTCTATTCATCTGGATTCAAGGGAACAGCACAGCACATCCTAGTTTCAAAGGTGCTCCACCTATCTACCACAGGTAGACACAAATAATGTGTTGTCCTGTGTTGTTTTGTCTTGCCTTCCCTCTGTGTCTCCCCACACTCCTACTGCATTCTCTCACCCCATATCAATAGACATTCCACACTCACTGCTTCTGGGAGGAGATGTGAATGCAGAAAGCAGAGTTACAAAGTCTTGGGCCCATTAGGAAACAGAAGGACTCATGGCATAAACCAAAGGTCTGAGGAGAAAGCCACTCTCTAGGCAGGACTAATGGAATGAAAGTAGAAATGACAATGAGGATCTGTGTTGAGAAAAGAGCCTACTAATCTGCTCACTGCCCAATGCTCAGTCCCAGAGAGCTGCCTCCTTCAGAGGAGCAATGGGAGTTAGTCCATGTCACAGGGCCCTGAATATCCAGCATTCCACCAGGTGTGGGAGCAGTGAGTGGTTCCACCAGCAGATGGGACACTGGCAGAGAACAGAGAGTCTGAGGGCCTGAGCAGATCTGATGAAGGGGACACAGGATGACTCAGTGGGACCTGCATGGACTATAAGCAAGGGTAAGGAGGGATACAGGTGTCTCCATGGGCATCAGCAGGGATAGGAGCCAACAAGGCCACAGAGCACCTTCCCCTATAGCCTGACATGGTGCAGCCGGCTGTAACCCAGCTAGCATTTCTGCCTCCAGTGGACTGGAGACACAAACTGGAACCCACCAAGATGCACAGTAAGTAAAGAAAGTTTCATTTTCTTGAACAACTTGAGGCTGGGTTCAGGTCTGGAGCCATCCCCAGTGATATGTAAAGGAACACAAGCCCTGGAGCTTCTACAATTTGTTTTCCCCTCCAACTCTTCTGACAGCTGGGGAGGCTGTTCCCTGCATGGAGCAACCCTGCCTCTCCCCTCGTCTCCACTTCACAGCACTAATAATGATCATAATGACACACCAAATTTACATAATACACTTCTCAGAAGCCACTCCACAGGGCTCCATAGAAACTCATCTCTGTGATTATTGAAATGTCTCTGCCAGGTGGATCTGAAGTAGGGGCAAATGTGCCCATGTGGCAGAATTGGGAACCAAGTCACAGAGATCTGGAGTACTTTCTGTTAAGTCACACAGCTTCTCATCCTGACACAAACAGTCTCAAATCTCAACATAAGGCCCAGTAGGCAGATCTGAGCTTTCAGGGAATCCTGTTGCAGCTCTGGGATGCTGGAAGGAGTGGCAAGTTTTGCTCATAAAGACAAGAAGCCATGAA